TAATCTTTATTGCCCTGCTTACAGAAACTGCCTCTCCGATTAACCCCTATTACATTGTAACAGCTAAAGCAAAGTGCCCATTGACCTAAGTAATGTTGAGTTGGCCATGCCCACACAGCCACATGGCCACTAAGCCCTGCCTATCCACCTGGTCATTAGGACAGAGAACCAGTTGGTAAATTATTTGAATCCCACCACTGGCTGGAGTGTGTGTGTGTGTGTGTGTGTGAGCATCCTATCCATTTGCCTTCTGGGGACTTATGTAAAATGGCTTCACCTCCACTGCCAGCCATTTTGCAAATGCATAGATCACATCCACAGCCGCTATAAAAAAATGAATCACCAATGCCTAATGGTTTCTTCTGACCCTGACTAAGAGAAGGAACTTAGCTTATCAAAACACAATCAAATGCGCTGTTTGTACAGTACATAACACCACTTCACTGGTGTTATTCCCAGAAACTTGGATTTGGTTTCGGAGTGATGAAATATTTAGAAAGCTTGACAAATAGAAGGGATGTAATCAGAGTAGATTACAGCCAGGGTAAACGGTGGATGGCAGCCATTTCTGTTTCGTTTGGGGCAATCAATTTTGCATTCTCTTTCTTTTCTTGTAATATTGCAGAGTTCCGATTTCCTGAAAATGGCGCATTCTGTTTTAAGAATCGCTTCTGTATCAATTCCTGTCTTCTGGTCAGTGATTATTAGATTTACAGGTTGTCCTTAACTTACAACAATCCATTTAGTGACTGTTCAAAGTTACAACATCACTGAAAAAAAATTAACTTTTGACCTTTTTTCACACTTACAACCATTGCAGCATAATGATCAAAGTTGGCAACTGACTCATATTTATGACGGTTGCAGTGTCCCGGGATCATGGGATCTCCTTTTGCGACCTTCTGACAAGCAAAGTCAATGGGGCAGCCAGAATCGCTTAACAACCATGTTACTAACTTAACAACTGGAGTGATTCACTTAACAACTGTGGCATAAAAGGTAAAACTTAAGAAATATCTCGCTTAGCAACTTAAACTTTGGGCTGCTTTGTGGTCAGTAAATCGAGGACTACCTATATAGTTTTTGGAGATCCAATTATACTGTGGGATGCAGAAGAACAGGAAAGGTGGCTGTTCTGTCAGATCTGATCTTGACCTTTTCCTCCTAAAAAGAAGCACAAAATGAAATGAAATAACTATACTACCAGTAGTCCTTGACTTATGACCACAATCAGGACCAAAATTACCATTGCTAAGCAAGACAGGTGTTAAGACCAATTTTGCAACCTTTTTGGCCACAGCTGAGGATGGTATTTAATTTCGTTGTATGATGTGCAATGACAATAAACTAAACTAAACTAAACTAAACTANGATAGATCGATAGATCAATAGACAGAGAGACAGAGGATAGACAATAGGCAGATTAATGAATTTCAGTTCTCTTTACTTATAGTGTGAAAGGGAATCTTACATTGGATTTTTTGGGGTGTTTTAAGGATTTGTAACAGCCCCCCCCCCCATTTTTACCCCCTGTCTTTCAGCTAGCCAGGGGACACCTCTGAGGGGCATTTGAGTTTGTTTTCCTTTCTTCTGGGGTTTCTTTCTATTTTTTATGATTCAGTACATCATCCAACTATGCACTCAGTTTCCTCATTTTCGCCCACTAAAAAAGGCCCACTTCCTGTCTTTCTCATAAATGTTTGAGCAATTACTTTTATTTCCAATTGCCATCACTTCCTGATTATGGAGTTCACAGAGGGCTCATTTTTCCTTCCCGTCACAGAGCAAAGAAGATCAGCAAATGTTGCTGAAATAATTTTGACTATTTGCACATCAGAGGGACAGCCCCGTCCGCTTCTCCCAAATAATGCAAATATGCAATTGGCCTCTTTACTCTATTGTTAATTGAACCAGAGTGTGGATTTTTAGAAACTGAACAGATCTTTGCAGGAGTTTTTTTCCAATCACGGGTAGTCCTCGACTTACAACCGCAACTGAGCCGAACATTTCTGTTGCTAAGCAAGACAGTTGTGAGTTTCAGCTCCATTTTACAATTGTTACAGTTGTTAAGTGAATCACTGCAGTTGTTAAGTTTGTAATACAGTTGTTAAGTGAATCTGGCTTCCTCATTGACGCTGCTTGTCCAAAGGATACAAATGTTGATCACATGTCCCCAGGACATTGCCACCATCATAAATACATGCTAATTGCCCAGCGCCCGAATTTTGATCACATGACCTTGGGGATGCTGCAATAGTCATAAGTTTGAAAAATAGATATGACTTTTTTTTGGTGTTGTTGTAATTCAAATGGTCACTAAATGAATGGCTATAAACCGAGGATTACCTGTAACAAGTTTTATTAAAAGCTTTTACAAATTGGTTAGTTGGAAAATGGTCTACCAGATTTCTGATGCTTTGCCAAAGCATCAGAAATCGCCAAAGTCTAATACAGCATTCCTATGATATCAAGATTAGATCCTTGGTCTCTTTTTTAAGATGATCTTTAGATGATCTTACAAACTTTCCCAATTAGAAAAAAATCTACTCATCTTCTCCCAATTATCTTCTCTACTACCTGCCAACTTCTCCGTTCTCCCTTTTTAAAGGTTTATTTTGCCCTAAATAAAATTAAAGAAGTGCAAAGCAAAACACAGCTTTTAATGTCAGCTTTATTTACAGCAAATACTCTCTTAGAAGATTTAAATCATGGTTATGTGTAAGATGGGAGCAGAAGGCTGGGGTCAGTGGTGGGATTCAGCCAGTTCACACCTATTCGGGAGAANATGTCTCCCCTAGTCCTTCTTTTCATTAAACTAGACATACCCAGTTCCTGCAACCATTCCTCATATGTTTTAGTCTCCAGTCCCCTAATCATCTTCATTGCTCTTCTTTGCACTCTTTCTGGAGAGCTCCAGTATCTCTTTCCATTCTGTCATTTTATGCTTCCATGATTTTATTAATGCCTAGATCAGGGGTGTCCAACCTTGGCGGTTTTAAGACTTGTGGACTTCAACTCCCAGAATTCTGGGAATTAAAGTCCACAGGTCTTAAAACCACCAAGGTTGGACACCTCTGGTAAGACTGAAGATCTACCCTGCTTTTTAAAAAAAGTTTATATTGTTATTATTGCCCTGCACTGTGCATTATAATACTTAATTTGTTCTAAGTACATTCCTTACTTCAGTGTTTTATGGCCTAATAAAAACTAACCAGAAGTACACTATAAGCTACTCTTTGATCCATGTCATCAACAAGATACTAGATGCTGAAAAATGATTCTTTAAACATATCAAAATTCAATGGCTTCATATTAACTGGGTCTCTTGGCCCTCAAATCTCTGCAGGAAAAAAAAATCCTTAAATCAGCAGTTTGGAAGAAAAAGGAAATATCAGCCTTTCCAGGTAGACCAGACAGGAAACGCAATCAGATGTGTTAATATTACTTTATTAAGTGTTAAGCCTACGTTAACATAATCTTGCAAGTCTGAAAGTACAAATCTTCTACTATCTCCTTTACAGCCTGAGCGGTTACGAAGTGTTCCTGCCCTCTTGAGTCTCTTTCTCCACCTGTTATACAGTTGCAGGCTACGGCCTCTCTTATCTGAGCATTCCCTAAGAAGCATTTTTTTGTCAGTTTCCAAAGTGTTTCTCAGGAAGAGAATGAGGAAATATTGCTAAGTGCCATTTATCAGGAAGAGAATGAGGAAATATTGCTAAATGTCAAGAGGATTCTTAGGGAGGAACTTTGGATCAGGGTGTGGGCCCCAGGGTGTGGCATCATTATGCCAACCTTTCGGCTAGGAACAAATTCTAATTGGTTAGACCAGT